CTGCGGGGCGTCGTGAGCTGGTGGAACCGCGCAGGGAGCGCTCGGTGGCCCCTGTCCCGGGTCCGAGGAGGGGGAGAAGCCAGCTGGGGCGGCTCTGTCGGCCGCGGGTGAAGCGCCTGCCGGTCCACCCATGGCTCAGCCAGCTCTTACCCCACAGTCCGAGTGAAACGCGTTTTGGAATAACGGGAGCGTTCGCACCGCTTTGTGCCAGAGGGAGGTGGTCAAACCTGGTCTAACCTCTTGTGTCTTTCTTTTTTTCCATCCTTAAATTTTTATTTGTGAAAAGAAACTGGGCTGCAAAATCCTTCTGCGGGAGTTCCACGCAATTCTTCTGCTCCGGCTAGAGGCGCGCTGCGTTTTCGCCTGTTGCCGGTGTGCGCTTGGCGGCTGCAGGGTGGTGCTGGGCTCTGTGCTCCCTGCGGCGCTGCCCGTGGTCGTGCCCAGAGCGAGCACGCGGATGAACCTCTGGAGAAGCTCCCGCTGCTAGGAAATACCGCGCGCGCCCATCGGCGATCTGGACTTCTGCCGGCTCACTAAATAACTCTTGGTTCTCCTTTGATTTGAAAACGTCTGTTCCAGACGTTGATTTAGGTATCTGAAATGTCTCTGGAAGACTGCGTTTGACAGATTCCCTTCTCTGTGATGACACGTCTTTCTCCATTAGTGTAGCTCGCCCACGTGGGAGCCAGAGCTGTATCGGAGCTCAGCTTCCCGAGGAACTGCAGACTTCATGCCACAGCAACTGTGCGACAGCCTGCACCGCCTTTTGGCCAAAAGGCGGAGCGATGTTTAATCGTTGCTCTGCTAACACATGCCCCTCTCTCTGAGAGACTGATAAAAGAGGGAGGGTTTTTCCCTGTGGCAAAACCATCAGACTCTTGCAGAAGAGAAGAGCAGCAGGGAAGCTGGTTAACAAGTGGATAGTGTGATTCACAGCAGCTTCTCGGTTTCTTTCACCTCTGAAACCACAAACTACTGTTAGAAAATGACAGCGCAAACCACTTGCTTCTTGGGAACCTCCATGGGAAAACAAGCGAGAGTGCTCACTTTCTCTTTCCCCCTCAAGACAAATCTTACGGCCGTTTTCTACTCCTGCTTCCAGTGCCTCTTCCACTCGCTAACTTCCTTGGGTTTATTGGGAACTTTGCACGAAGAATGGGGCAAAGCACAGGAAGCAGTGGTCTGTGACCGGGATTGTACCCCCGAGATTTCCTTGCAGATGTACCGTAACGTGCTGCTTTTGCTTTCACAATCTGGTCTTTCTAACTCTGTTCCTCTGTGGATGCAGGGCTTCTGTCCCCGTGGGTGCGAATGCAGAAGGAAACCGTTAGTAACGGTTGCTGGCAATTGACTTCCCTTCTTTCACAGTAAAGTGTAGAGCTCATAGCTCAGAATCCTACCCGGCAGCATAGGTTATCCTTTTGTTCTGTGTCCATCTTTTGGCTCTTCAGGATCAGTCACATTTCTGTATACCAGCCCTGAGGCTGCCATGAGTGACCCATCCCTGGTGTTTGTGGCTGGAGCAAACACTGTGGAAGAGCAGAGGGCTCGCTGGGAGAGAAAGCGCAGCCGGACAGCCAAGGAGCTGCTGGAAACCGAACACAAATACCTTGAGCAGCTGGATTTGGTGGTCACAGTGAGTATTTCGGTCCCTACTGATGTGTAGGTGCCTTCAGGCAGCACTTACTTATTTGCGTTGTTGTGGGGAAGGGTCAAGAGCCAGACTTTGGTACATCCCTACTGCACGGGACAACAGCTGGAGCTGAAAAGTTTTTTTGTTGTTTTTCTTTTACCTCCTCTGTCATATCTGATAGCTCATGGGTTTGGCCCCTTGGCTGTGGTCTGTACACAGACATAAATCTCAAGTTCTGATTGTATAGGAGACTCTCCTTAAGATGCCTGAGGTGTATGAAATGCAGGGGCACAGACAAGAAAAGGATAGATTATGAACAAGGTGGTGAAAAGTGGATGCGTCTAGGAATACTGAAACAGACTCTACAAGTGCTGTAGTGCCGTTTGACGTGTTTAGAGTTATGGTCAAAGTTACCAAGAAGGCTTGCGTCCAATGATAGATATTTTAGGTAGGCATTCACCATATGTATATTTTTTGAGCTAAAGAGTGTGTAGGCTGCAACTTCCTGCTTCTGCTGTGTGCCACAAATAACATTTGAGTGACCTGTGTATTTTACCTCTTTGAAATTCTCTTTTTTCCTGCTCAGTTCTTCGTGACAATTTTGAAGGCCAAAGGGACGCTGAAACCTGCTGTGTTGGAAACCATATTTGGACCCCTGGAATCCATATATTCGGCCAGCCAGTAAGTGAACACACTGATGTCATTCCTGTGATTATATGGAGAGGAGCCTATATTGGTGAGAAAGTCAGATTTCGGGAAATAAAACTAACACCTTGTAAAACAGGCGTTCGTGTCTAGCACTGCTAGCTTTGGTGGCACGTGTGGGTGTACCCAGGAAACTGCTGGTCTCTATCCACATATCCAGGTACTCAGTCGCTCTCTGGACAGTGATTTAAAAATACCACTGAGCAGACTTAACTGGTTTAAGGAATGTTTTCTCTAGCTTACTCTGTGACCACCAAGCACGTATTTGGCACAGAAGCTGGATGTGACTGGAGACTGACGAGGGAAGGTCAGCATAGGAGGGAACCAGAGGGAACTGTGAAAATGCCATCAGTAACGCACCACTCACGAGCTATCTTTCCTCCTTGTGCACAGGGTTCTGTTGCTTCACCTGGAGAGAGGGAGTTTGGGACTAGGGTTGGAAAATTTCTGTCGGAATCTGGGGCTTTATGGTCACTACGCTGAGAATTTGGAACAGTCAAATAAAACCTTGAAGGTAAACATCTCCTTTAATCTTCACATTCTTTCTTCCCTCTCTTTCTCTATTCTGTGAAACAGCTACATCCTTCCCTTTTTCTTCTGTTTTCTCAGTCTTCGTAACAGAATGGTGAAAACTTCTGGACTTATTTAGAGCTTCATAATTTTTAAGCTCGTTTCACGTGTTTGTATGTGTGTGTGCAGACACTGAGCACAGCTTTTTCCAGCAGAGTTCTTTATTTACTCCCACTCCTTGGCTGGCGAGCCTGGAGAGTTTGCAGTGGGAACACTAGGGGACAGTGATCTCTTTCTGGAGAATTATCAGGTCTCCTAGTCTTTCCCACTACCACTAACTGTATCCTAGCAGTGGGATTTCCTTTTCCTTTCTGATTTTTTTTTTCTATGGTTGAAGAAAAATTTTTCCTTCCTGCTTACCTCTCCAAATACAACCTGCCTTCCAAGAAATTCCAGAAGGATATATTTTTTATTCCAAAGTCCTGACAGCTGTATCTGGAATTAAAACCACCCGACTTCCAGTTTTTGTCCATGCTTGTTTCGAGCTGCAGGACGAACAGGGATGTTTCCATTCTGTTCTGTTTGCGTGCATGTATCCACACTTCTGATTTCCCAAGAGAAAAAGCCATTTTGGATACATGCCTTGAGGTGATGGGAGTGCGGGGCTGCATTGCGTTGTCTTGAAACATGTGGCAAAAAAGCCACAAGTGGACTTGTTTCCCTGTCTGAGTCAACCTTCCTTTTTTTTCTTTTACTTTTCCGTTTACTGAGTATACTAGCTTTATACTGCTGTGCATGTATGAAGAGGGGGTATGGCTTCCATTACCTGCTGGGAAATGGTGGTCAGGAGAAATTGCACGGGAATTGCTTGCCCGTGGCCGCAAAAGAAGTTGTTGATGCTTGCATTTGGGACTGGAGTCCTAAACTCTAAGAGTTTCAAGAGTTCCAAGCTCTAGTGCAGACTAGAGCACATATTTCTTTCTGTAGTCTCAAAGCTGTATGCCTGTTCTGCTGCACACAGGAGCAATTGAGGAAAAATAAGTCATTCCGACGGTTTAAGAAACTCCAGGAGACTCGACCTCAGTTTCAAGGGAGGAAGCTAGAGGATCTGCTTCCTTTGCCCCTGCAGAGGTTGCACCAGTAAGTAAGCAATTCTGAGTCTTCAAGGTGTTAGTACAAGAGGGGAAAAAGGAACATAATGGTGTCTTGATTGCTGTGGAAGGTGAAGTGGCTTAATGTGTCTCAAAAGTGGAGCTTATAGACAGCTATGAAACAGACCTGAAGGCACACCTGTGAAGTGGAATCGGTGTACGTGGATGGGAGAGGATGCAGAGAGGTAGCTAGGTTTAGCCCTGGCTCCTAAGCCCTGCATCTGCTCATGGGTAGAATTGAAGTAAAGGTGGTGTATCACCTCGGTAAGCTACTGAAGTTAGGCCCTGAAAAAAAGCAAGCCGTCTTAAGTGCTGCAGAATTGGTGCGCTCTGCCAGAGATGCCCTTGCTCCAGTTCCATGTGGGTTGCTGACCTGGAGCGTTGTGACTCTCCTCAAGCAAGCTGGTTGCTTTTGGAGAGAGGTGACATCAATGAATGGGGCTGAGCTTCTCTCCCCTCTCCGGTTATCAGGGCCGTATGCTTTCCTCAGATTTGGTGCCGATCACAGTTGTCTGAGCCTGGGCAGATCCAGTCTATGTTGCTGTTTTTCCCCCTTGAGGCATCATCTCCCCTTCGACGAGGCAGGCAGACTGCATGCGGCGAGTGCTGCGTGCACTCGAGGGCTGCCCTTTCTTGGGGAGGGTGTGTGGGTCATACAGAGCACAGGTAGTTTGCTGGGAACCCAGCTGCTGCTGCTATAGATTGAGTAGCTGCTCTTCAACGATGGTCTTACCCATGCTAAAGCAAATTTGAGAGATTGAGAGCCTCGTTTCTTTGAGAATAACTCGGTATGAGCACACCACAATCTTCCAGGTAGCTTTGTATCTGCCAAGCTGATTAAAAAGGTTACATGAACTTAAGTGTTCTTTTTACTGTAGCTCTTTGGATTGTTTCTTGAAACTTGTGAAATAGCAGTATGTTTGTTGCTGTCCAACTGCTTGGAAAAATGGTGGCTTTTTAATGAAAAAATCACACGTTAGGTTAATTAGCTCTTTCATGTTCAAGTTTCTTTGAAACTCTGTGACATATACTGCAGGCCATATGACTTCTGCCAGTCTGTGAATTTATTCAATGTGGTATTCCTTCTGTCATTTTGTCAGACTGAAAATAGTTTGACTTTACTGGGAGAAAGCATTTGTGGAGATCTGATCCTTTCCGGTAAAGACTGGAGAGGAAAAAAGCAAAAGGCAGCTCCTAGTTCTTATAGAAATGCCTTTATTTTCTTGTGTGGGAAGCAAACATATGGTATGAATGCTACCATTCAGACATTAAAAGAAAATGAATAGTTCAAAGAGAAATTTGTCTGTTATTGATGGCATTTTCATGTGAATGCTAAGAGAATCTCATGAACTTACGTAATATGTGAGGTTGCTTTTATCAGATGCCCAGCAAATGACAAAGGCTTGCAAATGTATGAAATACTTGGGTTAATTTAGTTGATAAATTTGAAGATAAAATGAATGGCATCAAAGAATTGTGACCAAAAGCTGCTTGGTTAGGCGTAGAGGTATGTACTCCGTCTCCTGGTGGAGTGTTGTTCGTCATTCTGTCACTAATAGGATATGCTGCTATTCTTGGTATCTTTTTGTGAAATAAAACTGCTCTCCCTATCGTAATAGGTACAAGCATTTCCTCAGAGACCTGCTGGAGAACACCAGCCCAGACAGTGCTGAGTACCAGAAACTTGCAAGTATGATTCCACCTGTAGATGCTGCCACTTTGATCACTGTGTTAGCCTCCTTGCTTATAATATTTGCATACTTGTCTTCTGTCTGCTTCCACAGGAAGAGAAACCTTACTCTCTCTGTAGTTGTAGTGGATTACTGTTTCCCTTCTCCATCTTGATCAAGATGTCCCTGAGAACACATTGGGACTAAAACCAGAGTGTAACTGGCTGGGAAAGTGGCCTAGGGGTGAAGTCAGAGAAATGGCAGCTCTGTATTTTATGATGAGGGTGGTGAGACACTGGAACAGGTTGCCCAGGGAAGCTGTCAAAGCCAGATCGCTGGAAGTGTACAAGGTCAGGCTGGACAGGGCTTTGAGCAATCTGGTCTAGTGGAACGTGTCCCTGCCCGTGGTAGGGAGGTTGGACTCAATGATCTTTAAAGGTTACTTCCAACCCAGAACATTCTCTGACTATTGGTCCTGTGCCCTAATTTTGTAGGATGATTAATGTCCTTCATGCCATATTTACTAGCAGTTAACACCACTTGTGGGACATTTTTCCTGGTTTTTCTTCCAAATCCAGGAAAGTCTTCTGTGTAATGTTTCATTCGCAAATAAATGTTTTCTAGAACAACAAAAATTGGATGGAGAAGGGCCTCTGGAGGTCTTCTAGTCCAATCTCCTAAAACCTGCTGAAATTATGGACCAAATCTGTTGTTGATACTTGGTTTAGAGCATTTGCTTCTTGATTTCATCTTGTCTATTCATAGCAAGACGGATAAGGTGTAATATGTACTTATTTGTGATAACCTCAGAATATGCTGCTATAATTTCAGAGGCTGTGAAATCTGTTTCTGAGGTATCTCGGTGGGTCCAAGACATTGTTCGTAAGCGAGAGAACTCATTGCAGCTACTTCGGGTTCAGAAACTGCTCAAAGGACAGAAGACACAGATTTTGACTCCAGGTGGGTCTTACTGACAGCTCTGTTTTTTCTTCTGCCAAGTTGAGATAACTGGAGGTATATGCTTGCCTGCATCTCTGACTCTACTCATATTAACCAGTTTTCCCCTTCTACCCAAATTCCATAGATAGGTGGTGAAGGAATATAACTAACAATTCAAACACTTTTTTTTTAATTTGAATACAGAATTTTTGAGTAAGGATAAGCAGCACCTTCATTGTCTGACATCCAGATAGAAGGAGCTGATGGCATGTAGTTAGAAAGTTAGTAACAGGAACCTGAAGAGGTCAGGGTGAGAATGAAAGACAGACATTAAATAATTTTGGATGAGCGTAAGTAGTGGTGTTGTCCTTACTCCATTGCAGGAACCATAGATTTCTGAGTGTCAAGGGCCTGAGGACTGTGGTGTTTTTTCACTTAAGCTACAAGCTTCATGAACTTCTGCTCACAGCCTTCACATGAGGAATCTTCTTTTATCTGCATGGTTAAACTGTACCAGAAATCAGAGTATTTGTGTTGATAGCTGAGATATATGAAGTCACAGTCACTGGTGTGTAAGATCATTTAATTGGATTACAGGTTTCTTTATGACCTCTTGTGTGACTGGGTCCTCTGCATGCCCAGCGCATGCTCCTCGCTGTATATGGAATACAGTGAGAAACGTGTCCAGTCTGGGCAATTGTGAAATGGCCATTTGGGGCTTCACTTGTGCCCTCAGTAAACACTGCTGTTGCAGAGGTCATTGAGAAACAGTGCTGCAGCTGGAGCAGTCACTGTGTATAAAGGCCTCCAAGATGCGCCTCCAGGTACTTGTGAATGTAGTTGTAATTCATACATGTGGATTTCTGCGTGAAAAAAACCAGTGTGGATAGGGAAAAGAATCAGAAGAGTAAAAGTGAGAAGGCTCCTGGGTTGAGATAAGGACACTTTAACAAGTAAAGCAAAAGCCAGGTGCGCAAGCAAAGCAAACCAACAAATCCATTCACTCCTTCCCGTCGGCAGGCAGGAGTTCAGCCATCCCCAGGAAAGCAGGGCTCCGACAAGTGTAATGGTTAGTTGGGAAGACAAACGCCATCACTCCAAACATCCCACCCTTCCTTCTTCTTTCCTCAGCTTTTATAATATAATATATATAGTAATATATATAGTATGTCTGAGTGTGTATATATATATATATATACACACTATCTATATAATATATATATTTTTTATATATATTATATCCCCCCCTGCTTTATAGGCTAGACATGGTGTCATATGGAATGGAATAACCCTTTGGTCAGTTGGGGTCGGCTGTCCCGGCTGTGTCCCCTCCCACCTTCCCGTGCACCCCCAGCCCACTCGCTGGCAGGCCAGCACGAGAAGCTGGAAAGTCGTTGCCTGCTTAGTAACAACTAAAACCATAAGTGTGTTATCAACATTATTTTCATCCCAAATCCAAAACACAGCACTACACCAGCTACCAGGGAGAAAATTAACTATCCCAGCCAGAAACAGAACACCCTGAATGACAGAACTAAAAAGATAAACCCAGGACAAAAAAAAATGACCCCAAAACAGTATAGCTAGACCAGAGTTGGCCATCGTTTGAAAGAGTTGGGTCCACTTTTTTTTTGTTTCCAAATATTCTGAGACATGTAGTAGCACAAGTGTTGAGGGTCTACAGACACCTTTCCATTATCTAGGATGGAGAGTTGCGATGGTTGTGTTTTCCGTTAGCTGGAGTAAAATAGGTGCTATTGGATGTGAGAAGCAGAAAAGTAAGGCAGCTGGGGCTTGCTAGTTTTGGGCCAGCTTTCCAGAAACAAGCTAGCTTTCACATAACTGTTAAGGTTGCATCCTGTTACTAGGAGGGATGAGGTGAGAAAGTGTAATGATACAGATTCAGAGAAAACAAGCAGCTTTGGAGTTGGGTATCTCACATTTGGCAGCGTCTCTGAGATGTACTGTTCCCAGTGAAAAGAGACCCTGCTTTCCTTGCTGCCTTCCATATATAGGGCAAACACCATCTTAGCCAGAACTGCCTCTGTCGTCCCCTGCTTCCCTAGGGATGATTGCTTGCCCTCCTTTCACAAGAATTTTCTAAATCAAGTGCTTCTGTGAATCCTGAACACAGATCTATACCCCATGGCTCCCAGCACAGTCCAGCTCAGACTGTAGGCCTGGAAGTCCGATCACAGCTTAGCCTGAGGGAGACAGTTCTCAGTCCAGCCCCATGCTACTGGCACCTTCCTTTCATGTGTTTTTCAAGCTTGGACTGATTCCTGCACCTCACCCTTCTCTTTCTTGGTTTCTTATTCCAAAAAGAGGAGTGCTTCCTGTGGAGTAAGCTAAGCAGGAATTCACTTGCCTCTGTGTTTTGTGACTGTAGCATACTAAGACACAATCCATAATTAAAATAAATTGTGTTGTTTTCTAATAGGCATTTACTAGCTCATCCAGAAGCTAAGGCACGAAAAACAATGTCTGGAATTCTCTGGCATGTGTTTCCCAGAGCAGGCTGGGTGGCAATACCTTATTATGGCTTTAAATTTTTATAGATAATTTTACTGGCATGTGTCTTCATAATTCTCATGAGTTGATGGCTGTCTCGTACAATGATCCTTCTAGTAAGAGGCACTGCTTTCATTATTCCATTTTATGTAGGTGCCATTTTTTTATTGCTGCTTAGCAGCTAGATCTGTCAAATTGATTTGATTTTTTTACTGCTGATTTCTCTGCCTTTTGTTTCACTGCAATTCATTTCATGGGTAGATGACACTGGACCCTGTTCTGTAAGAGAAGGTTGATAAGGCTGCCTGTTCAGACCTTCCTTTTAGTATGTTGTTTTGTATCCCCTTCGCTGTCTTCTCATTAGAACAGCAATCTGCATTCTGTAATCTGTTAACTACTGGAGGTCAGTATGTAGTTAGATGACCTGTGAAACTTTTTTTTTAAATTGCTATGCACAAGCAAAGAAAACAAGGGGAAAATAATAAATGTTCAAAGCTTAGGCTAATGTCTGTTTTATCCCTAACGACAAACAATTGGGCAGCACTATTTAAGATAGTTCATGGTATGTTTTCTCAAGGCTTATGTTAATTTAAAGGCATGCATGCTATTGTCAAACCATGTTTTTGTTCTGGTGCCTTTAAGCAGACTTGCATATAAAAATACCCTCTTAATTAACATAGTAGATTTATAACAACTTCAGTCTGCTCTTCATACACTGAACGTTTTGGGCTGATTACTGCTTCTGCATGGGCGCTGTCAGTGCTTGTGCGCTGGCCCCAGTTGATATTCAGTGCCTTCTAGTGGCTGCAACTGATGTAGTGATTTAGAACCTGGCAACCTACAGTCCTGCTTGTCATACTTTTTTTTTTTTTTTTTTTAATTCTTCAATGACGATCTGACAACTGTCTTTATTTCCCTTGCATGCCTAGGGCGCTGGTACATCCGGGAAGGCTGGCTTTTGGTGGTGCCTTCAAAGGGAGAAGAACTGAAGCGCAGGATGTTCTTCCTTTTTTCTGATATCTTTATTGCAACAAAGCCCTGCCACCCACTGCACCCGCTGAACTCAAACAAACTGGCATGCCGGGCCGTCTACCCTCTTCACCAGTGCGTGGTGGATAAAGTGTTCGGCCACACGCACAGCGAGGGAGGGCTCCTCAGTGTAAGTCTTCCTGCTTCCGCCTGGCAGAAGCATTAGTGGAGTCAGACTCGCAAAGCAGGTCTCTAGCTGTCCTGGCAGCAGCAGGACTGAGATGGTGGGAGTGGTGACAATGGTAAATGCAATTAACTACTCTGAGTTAGTGTTGTGATTTAATCCCAGCCAGCATTTAAGCACCATGCAGCTGCTCGCTCCCCCTGGTGGGATGGGGGAGAGAATCGGAAGGGTAAAAGCAAGAAAACTCCTGGGTTGAGATAAAGACAGTTTAACAGATAAAGCAAAAGCCATGCACGCAAGCAAAGCAAACCAAGGGATTCGTTCACTCCTTCCCGTCGGCAGGCAGGAGTTCAGCCATCCCAGGAAAGCAGGGCTCCATCGCACGTAAGGGTTACTTGGGAAGACAAGCGCCATCACTCCAAATGTACCCCCCTTCCTTCTTCTTCCCCCAGCTTTATATGCTGGGCATGACGTCGTGTGGTATGGAATAAGCCTTTGGCCAGTTTGGGTCAGCTGTCCCGGCTGTGCCCCCTCCCAGCTTCCCATGCACCTGGAAGCCCAGGTGAAAAGTCCCTGACTGCCTCACAACAACTAAAAACGTCAGTATGTTATCAACACTATTCTCATACTAAATCCAAAACACAGCATTATACCAGCTACTGGGAAGAAAAGTAACTGTCCTAGCCCAAACCAGGACAGTTAGGGCAGTCCATCTCTTCTTTGGTGAGGTAGATGCTTTTCCCTTAGTGGCGCAGGCCCTCCTGGGCGCTCTGCGGTACAGGCTGCTGGTTGCTTCACTTTTAGCTCAGGTGAGGAGGGTCCGAGAAGACTCTGATGTCCCCTCAGCAGAGCGCAGCTGAGGGGCAGCCCCACAGTCACGTGGCAAGAAATACACAGCATTACAGTGACTGAACTTACAGGAAACCCTGAAAAACAGAGAATGCAGAAAGATGTGGGTATTATCAGAACAGATACTTCTCGTTTACCCAACTCCTTGAGGGCTGCAGGGTCTTTGGGAATGATGCCTTAGGTAGGAGTTTCAACTTCAGGTCTTCCCAGGTTGCAGTTCAGTAGGTAAGTTGTGATCTGTAGATGGTTGTGGTGGAAGGACCCCTACGGGCAGCTTCGAGTAAGGGACAAAACTGGACGAAAAGCTGCTGAGAACTTAATAGGGCATTTGGTAGTGGATAATTAAGGCAAAGTGAGCTGCCATCTGCGGCTGGAAGCAATGGACACGTCTGGCACTTGCTCTATACTGTCAGCCTCTGGCTTCTCCCAGTACCAATACTGAATTTTTCTATCATCTGGGGAAAAAAAAAGCAGGTGGAAATCAGCATGCAGGGATGAGTTGAGTTCAATGGTGATGGCTCTCTTTTTGTCAGAGTTGCTGCCTTGGCAAGGAATGCCAGAGTGGCACCAGACTCTGTTTGCCTTTCAGCTTTCCTTTCCACACAAGACACTGCTGTTGATGTCCAGCGACCAACAAGATATTAATGACTGGTATCGGAGTCTCACAGCCACCGTCAGGTAGGCATCTATTTTCCAGAGGAGGAAGGGGGCAGAACATAAAAATGATCATATGGACCTGTATATTTGCTTGTATTACGTGTTTATAAGGCTGATCAAGAAGAGCTGGCAGCCAGGATACAAAGGAATAGTAAGAACAGATTTCATGTACTCGCAGTGAACTTCCCCTTTGTTTTCCTCTACAGACAGCTGAAAACCTGACCCACCTGAGTGGCAGACAGACTGGCAGGACAGCAGCTCCTCTTGGAAGAGGCCTGCAGAATCTTAGGAAATGTTCAAGGACACACAGTAGGAGAACTGCATTTAGAGGGACTACACAGCATGTTTGTGAGATTATGCATACTTTGTCAGCTGTCCTAATAGAGATACTGCAAAAAATAAGTATGCACACTAGGGATTTGTACATCGACATTCTTGTGTATGAAGACTTTTCCCCAATTTGACTTAGAAGCTTCTAGCTTTTCTACACTTTTTTTTTTCCCTCAGATTCTTAATTTAAGAACAAGCAGAAGAAAGCCTGACTTGCTTTCCCTCATTAAATGATTTTATCCAGCTGTCTTTCTAAATCAGTGTTTTTGCATTTATTTGCCTATGTGTACACCTACCTGCTCTTGCTTCTGGCTCCTTTGATCAAAACAGATGTTTTGGGTAACAGTAACGTGTGCATAACACTGTATTTTCAGCTAGTGCTACAGGGCCACAGTCATCTTCCTCCCTTAACATATGGCTATCATTCACATCCTTCACTTTTCTACCAAAATAGTTTGACAGTTATTGTCCCTCCTCCTCTAAGAAAGTGACAGGTGAGCAGATCACAGGAACATAATCCAGTGCTTAAAATCGTATCTCTCAGTTTCTCATCAACACCGTGGAAAAGTTAATCTGCCAAACTATCCAAAATAAACTGGTAGCTAACATAGACAGCATTCACATTTCTGAGCTGAATCCTAAGACATGAAGCAGGTGAAACAGCACTTGCCTTTGCCTTCAAGCTGTGCAGCAGCCTTACCGCTTTGAAATGCTGCAGCAAGGAGCCTGGGCAGCACCTCTGCTCCTGAAGGACAGCGGATGTCTCCAGAGGGCCGCAGTCGGCGTTCCCAGTCATCAGTCGCTGGTAATGCGCTAGGGTTCAGTTTCACAGGGCAAAAGACCAATTTAAGGAAGAAATACACATAGGCTATTGTTAGTGCTTTAATGTTAAATTCTTAAGAACATCAGCTTCGTAATGTGGAAGCTCTGCAGCAACAGCAGTTCAGCCCATCTCTTCTACTGAGGGAGAAAACATCTGTTTGGACAAGATATTAGGTCATCAGCTGCAAGGAGAGCAATTTCAAGGTCATCAGAGATACAAAGATTGAGGTCGCTCCGGAACACTGACTTTTTCAGAAGTTTGACTTTCTTCTCCTTTAAACAGTACCACGCATCTTCAGTTTCTCACTGGAATTCACTAAAAAAGCAGTGGTACTGTTACCTTGGTGATGTACATGTAGACATATATTAATAAGGCGAACTAATAGTTAAGAAAAAGGTTATAAAGACAGTTACTAACTCATGAAAAGTATTTGCATGGCAGCCAGTGTTCCAGGTAAGGAGCATCTCATGGTTACAGACTTGCTCAACCAAGGACATGCACCTGCTGTGAGACTGTGAAACAAGGAGTTGGCACAAAAAGCAATGACTCTGGTGTCCTCAGCGGACGCATGACCACAGAAGGTCAAAATGAGTAGGAGGTCTTCCTCCCCATACGACCACTGGAGACCCTCTGGGACAGGCATAGATGGCTGCTATCCCCACGCAAGCACAGGGGATCCTACTTGCACAACATAATGAATATGCATTAGATAGGTGGAATAATTCACAGAATCACAGAATGTTCGGGGTTGGCAGGGACCTCTGTGGGTCATCTAGTCCAACCCCCTGCCGAAGCAGGGTCACCTACAGCAGGCTGCACAGGACCTTGTCCAGGCGGGTCTTGAATATCTCCAGAGAAGGAGACTCCACAGCCTCCCTGGGCAGCCTGTGGAGCTTCTTGCAACTTTTGTGTATAAGTATCCGACAATGAATCCCAGCAGATGTGCTTGATTTGTGGAAATCTTCCACCTCGCACCCTGTGCAGAATAAAACAGCATCTCCTCCCTAAACATACTTTGTGTGTTTTGGGAGTTAATTTTGATGAAAGGCAACAGTACTGTGTCATTAAATGCCCTGAAGAGAGAATTTCCAGATTTTAAGTCAGAATCATAGAATGGTTTAGCTTGGAAAGAACCTTAAAGATCATCTAGTTCCAACATCAACTTAATTTTTTTTTTTTTTGCCTTCCCCTACAGCTAACTCACCACACAAGATTACTCATTTGTTGTAGTTTGTGAAACTTGAGAGGAGGAAGGCACCCAGCATCTCTGTTTTTTTGTTCTTTTTTTTTTTTCTATACAGAAGCTACAGCTAGGAACAAAGCTAACAATTTCTCATCTCCCAGTAGTTGTATCACTCTCTGAAAAGGTTCTGCTACCACCCATTTTCATTCTACCAGGGTAATACAGAGATTTCTTGGAAGACACCGCCTGAGGCTGAGAGGTCTACCAATCTCTTTGTGGAGACAACTTTTTTTCCTGCCAGTGTTGCCTCCTTACTACAACTCAAGTCCCTTTGGTACTGCCTCTTCTAACACCTGTCTCAGTGCTGCCACCCTATTTGCATTCAGCGCTTCTGAAACAGCAAAACTAAATGGTTTCTCCACAGAACTTCCCGCCCTGAAAGGCTGCATGTTGGCTTCTAGAAAACACTGTAGCTCACTCACAGTGAAGTGGAGACGCTGCCAGAGAGCAGGGCTGTTGGACCAGATGCTGCAAAAAACCCAGCCTCTGCTGAAGTAAGTTACTAACTCATGTGGGTAGGAATACAATCCAAACAGAAGCAAACTCACTTTCCGAACAGAGTTTATTTACACAGAGAATATCAACCATTAGGGTTCCCAGTTTGACTTCCTTCTCTTGCCGAGTCTCTATTCGAGCCACAGCAAGAAGCAAGTCACCCTGAGCTTGTGCCCCCAGCACGGCAGCTCCGGGTTAGTAACCATTCCTCGGCCCTCCCGGGGCATCTTCCCTTCCCGTGATCCGGGACAGGGCTGGCGCAGCGCTCGGGTTATTCTGAACCTGTTGCTGCTTCAATCATGAGAATATTTGCGGGGCTGCTGCCCGCTGCATCTCCTCCCGGTAGCCCTTCAGGAGCTGGTTGAGCAGTGTCTTCTCGGTGTCTCGCTGCGGGCGGATGAGTGGTGGGAAGGGGTTCCCCTTAAGCTCTATGACCGCCATCTTGGCGCGGTCAAGGCTATCCCGGTTGGGGATCTGCAGCAGGCGGGTGTAGCTGCCGGGGTGGGGCTGGAACCGGGGCGCCAGCACCTTGAACAGCTTGTGGATGAGGTCCTTCTCCTGCAGGGCGGCATGCTCAGCTCCCACACCGGGGCTGTGGGGCGCTCAGGGAGGGCAGGGAAGGGGGGGTGCATGTGCACGTGCGTGCTTGCCTACATACCGTCAGCCAGAAATTCGCCATGCGCATGGCACGCTCATTGGTGTCCCCCATCTTGGCGTAGTCGATGAGCTGTGGGGAGGACGCAGGAAGAGCCGTCAGGGTCCTATAGCTGCCACCCGCCTGGTCAGGCCGGGTCAGTCAGGCTCGGTGGCCAGGCCCGGTTGGTCAGGCCCGGTCAGTCAGGCCCAGTCAGGCCGGGTCAGTCAGGCCCGGTCGGTCAGGCCCGGTGGCC